ACAGGCTGTCCTGTCTCCTCTCACTCTTGCAATCTCTTTAAGTCTCTCTCCACTCACTCACCCAATCAACATCTGTATCTCTCTCTCTCTCTCTCTCTCTCTCTCTCTCTCTCTCTCTCTCTCTCTCTCTCTCCTCTCTCTCTCTCTCTCTCTCTCTCTCTCTCTCTCTCTCTCTCCTCTCTCCTCTCTCTCTCTCTCTCCTCTCTCTCCTCTCTCTCTCTCTCTCTCTCCTCTCTCTCTCTCTCTGTCTCTCTCTCTCTCTCTCTCTCTCCTCTCCTCTCTCTCTCTCCTCATCTCTCCTCTCTCTCTCTCTCTCTCTCTCTCTCTCTCTCTCTCTCTCTCTCTCCTGCTGCTTGATGTGAGTGTGTTCCTGCTGGCCGACACCCTCGCGTGTGCTCCGTGTCTCCTCTTGATGTGAGTGTGGCTGGTGAAATGACAATATTTATCTTCTTAATGAGGGGAGTAATTATATCTCTCCAAGGTTACAATTTGCTTTTGTTTTGCTTCACTCCAAGAACACACTGACTGCCCGGTCTTAAATGACATTGTTTTCGTGATGTCTACGGCGGGTAACGACCCTTTGCTCGCCAGTGATGACTTCTTAGTGCGGCGATAACCATTGGTAAAGATGAGTAATTACGAGAAGTCAGAAGTGAAGAGTTGTTTTGGATTTTACGAATTCGTCAGGTGATCAGCTGATTGTGTTTACATCCTAGCGGCCCCTGCCTCAACCTGCCCTCAGGTTGGGCTCATTCACACATGTTAGCGTACTGTATAAAATGCACACTGCCTCCACACTACCACCACACTACCATCACACTACCACCACACTACCACCACACTACCACCACACTACCACCACACTACCACCACACTACCACCACACTACCACAACACAACTCACGTCTAATCAACCAACCCCTACCAACCACCCTTAACACAATCTTCCTTCTATACCTGGCCACAAGCAGGTCGCCAATGAACCCGAGCGAGGAATAACAAGGCAATTACCAGCAGGTGGTCGTTAGCGGAGCAGTTAAGGGGTCGAAGGGTGGTTGATCCCGTGTTCCAGCAGTCCCATCTCCACACACACCAAGCGAGACACACATACACCAAGCGAGACACACACACCAAGCGAGACACACACACCAAGTGAGACACACACACCAAGTGAGACACACACACCAAGCGAGACACACATACACCAAGCGAGACACACACACCAAGCGAGACACACACACCAAGCGAGACACACACACCAAGCGAGACACACCACACCAAGCGAGACACACACCAAGCGAGACACACACACCAAGCGAGACACACACACCAAGCGAGACACACACACCAAGCGAGACACACACACCAAGCGAGACACACACACCAAGTGAGACACATACACCAAGCGAGACACACACACCAAGCGAGACACACATACACCAAGCGAGACACACACACCAAGCGAGACACACACACCAGCGAGACACCAAGCGAGACACACACCAAGCGAGACACACACACCAAGCGAGACACACACACCAAGCGAGACACACACACCAGCGAGACACACACACCAAGCGAGACACACACCAAGCGAGACACACACACCAAGCGAGACACACACACCAAGCGAGACACACACCAAGCGAGACACAACACACCAAGCGAGACACACACACCAAGCGAGACACACACACCAAGCGAGACACACACACACCAAGCGAGACACACACACACCAAGCGAGACACACACACCAAGCGAGACACACACACCAAGCGAGACACACACCAAGCGAGACACACACACCAAGCGAGACACACACACCAAGCGAGACACACACACCAAGCGAGACACACACACACCAAGCGAGACACACACACTAAGCGAGACACACACACCAAGCGAGACACACACACCAAGCGAGACACACACACCAAGCGAGACACACACACCAAGCGAGACACACACCAAGCGAGACACACACACCAAGCGAGACACACACACCAAGCGATACACACACACCAAGCGAGACACACACACCAAGCGAGACACACACACCAAGCGAGACACACACACACCAAGCGAGACACACACACCAAGCGAGACACCAAGCGAGACACCCACACACCAAGCGAGACACACACACCAAGCGAGACACACACACCAAGCGAGACACACACACCAAGCGAGACACACACACACCAAGCGAGACACACACACCAAGCGAGACACACACACAAAGCGAGACACACACACCAAGCGACACACACACACCAAGCGAGACACACACACCAAGAGAGACACCAAGCGAACACACACACCAAGCGAGACACACACACCAAGCGAGACACACACCAAGCGAGACACACACACCAAGCGAGACACACACACACCAAGCGAGACACACACACCAAGCGAGACACACACCAAGCGAGACACACACACCAAGCGAGACACACACACCAAGCGAGACACCAAGCGAGACACACACCAAGCGAG